ATAAATGAGTTGTTCAGTGAAATCAGTTCTGTAGTTGAAGAGGTCCACATCAAGATTATGCTAGTTTTCTTGACTACCTATCTGGAGACAAAGATGCCCATACAATACAGCATGGTATTTTAATTGGTTTCTTTGACTGTGTGGACTGTGTTTTTGTAGTAGTCTGGGGCTTTCTGCTTCATCCGGATCTTCACATCTATTGTTGGAGAGTCTGCCTCCAATCTGTTTTGTTCTTATTTTTGTTAGAGTTAGATGAATTGTTTGTTCTAAAGTTGGTCAAGAATCAAAGTTTAATAGGCCAGGCATGTGTATTGGGTGTTTCTTTGGACGAATTTTTAGTCATTCCAGACTTTGCTTTGCTTGCTAGTTTAATTTGTCATCAGGTGAACACTACAGTGGTCTTTGGTTTGTTTGCCTTTTACACTTGCTAATTTGCTCGAGGACAGTAGAAACACAAGGGAATTGTTGTACTGCTGTTAATATTGAGCCAAGTCTGTTACCAGTTTGCTTGGGCTCGGCTTGAGCCGAAAATGACATGCTTATCTTATCGAGCCCAATACAAACATATATAGACTCAATATTGTGTAACATGTAGATTACTCCGAATATAAATGAAAAAAAGCTTTTATGCATGCGTAAACATGACATATGGGTAAATGAATTATAGCTATTTTCAAAAATAGATTGCGGGCGGATGTATGAAATTAAAGTCTATGTATCGATATGTCTGTATATATCTATAGTGGATATATGAAGGAAATGTTAGATCTAACTAATTCTATGAATTACCCCTAAAGGTTCACATCAAAATAGTGCTATAGACTTTACTCCAAAGCTTTCGAACACATGTTTTTTCTATTAAATTGTATAAATATTCATAGTTTATATTATATAAGTGTATTTGAATATATATTAGATGTCTTAGTATTATAAGTCCCATTCACTTGACCATTTAGTCAAATATTTTAGTGCATCTGTATTTTGTAGACAATATAAGGTCAATTTTTAAATCACTTTAATAAGATGAATCCTTGGTAGGCAGGGCTATGTTGATTCTGACTGTGACTTAGTTAATCCTAGTTATATGACGCACCCAAGAGTCTTTTGGATAAACAAAATAGGAACTTCTTGTGGGTTTATTTTTCACATCCTTTATCCACGGATGCCACCAACAGTCTACTAATTATCAGAACACCAGCACTAGCGGATATGATTCCTCCTCCCGCACTGCCAGTTCTGAGATGGTTGTAGTGACATGACTATGGACTGTGGTTTCCATGTGAAGTGAGGTTGAAAAGTGCAAGAGCCATTGGTTTTCTGGTATCTGCGAGGTTGTTGACAAATGTTGTTAGTGCTGACACTGGGTTATTCTGCAGCGAGTGTTCCTGTCAGTGTTTTATTGTTGTTGAAATGGTGCTATAGTGCGTTGGACCATGTGTTGGTGGCTGTTGGGAACTGAGGAGAATAGCGTTAGATTGTAATTTGGCTACGTGTAAGATCAAGCTTGAATGTGATGATTAAGTAGTTATAAAATTCTTTGAACAGAGCTCGGGCTTTTCAAAGGACAA